GGGGGGGGCCAGGCTGAGGCGTGTCTGCAAGAGGGGGTTTTTAAAGGGATCTGAACGCCCTGAGGCTGGACAGCCTCGGCGAATTAATTGGGCTAGGGATTTTGGGTTCTGCTTTTGGTGCCCAAAATGTCTAGGCGTCAATCTCTCTCGTTGCTAGCACGACAGGCCCTGTGAGGTTGCGAAAAGGGCACATTCGAGTAACTCCCGTCACGCTGACAGTGACGTCTGGGCCTACTTAGTTGGAATGGAGCTTTGGGGCACGTTATACCCAACTTATGCAAGGAGTGTAGGGAACCAAGTGGGAAATTCCTCAGGCGTTTTCAGTACTCTGGCTGTTGTGAAGGGAGGAGATTGGTAGCCTTTCAGAATAGAACAGGGGTTCGGCGTCAATGCAGAGGTCTCATGCGTTTGATGCAGGGATGGGGTGAGATGAAAATGAAGCTGTGTGAGCTTCAGAAGGCATACCATGGAAGCGAAGCAGGATTGTATACTCTAAGCCCTAATGAAGGTGACCTGGGGAACCCCAAGGTCCAGGGAGCAAGATCAAAGGTTGGCGTGTCATGAGATCAGTCAAAGTCAGTGCACCCTGGAAACCCATCTGGTTTAAGTTGGAAGCGATCAGCAAAACTGCTACTCATCTGAGCTATAGGCTTCACTCCGCTCCACAAGCCACAAGCCCTAGACCCCAAACCCTTAGCTCTAATCTTTATTGTTGACACCTGAAAGGTACCCCTAAATTTGGGAAATCCTCACATCCAGCCTAAACTAAACTCTAAACCCTAAACCCTAAATCCTACCATACTTCCAGCCTCGGAACTAGCCAAAGCTTCTTCGAAGGGAAAGTGGCCAGCGTTCGGCAGAGGGCGGCCGAGGCCGAGGCGGAATCCCAGAAGCTGGAGGAGCAGAAGAGGCCCTGCTGTTGGGCACTGATGGCTTTTAGGGTTTAGGGATTAGGGTTTAGGGGATGAATTGGGGTTTAGGGTTTAAGGATGAAATAGGGCCATAGGGTTTAGGGATTAGGGTTCAGGGATGAAAGAGGGTTTAGGGATTAGGGTCTGGGGTTTAGGGTCTACTGTCTTGGGTTTAGGGTGAAGGGTATCGGGCTTAGAAGCCCTATCCAACTAGCATCGCGGAGAATTATATTGGAAGCGAACTGGAGATTAAAGTGGAAGCTGGTCGTGAGCTCCAAGGATTTGGAGCAGGCTTTTTGTGGTCGAGTATATAAACCCTAAACCCTAAACCCTAGCGGATCGAGGGAACATCGTGAATAATTCGTCGGCTTCTGCATGAATTTGTTTTGTTTGGTGGACTTTGGGAGAGATAGAGGTGGGTTGAGGATGGGATTTAGGAACATAGGCTTCAATGCATACACATACGCTATAAGGGTCTGCTTTTAAGACATGGGGCTTCGGAAATTGAACAATTTTTAGACTTGGTGGTCTGCAGTTTGCCCCTAAACCCTAAACCCTAAACCCTAAATGTGTAGTTCGTTCCAAAAGGGGCTTCATAGGTGGCACAGGATTCAATGATCTCGTCGTTGAGGTGAAGGCTCCAAAAGTTTGCATTGAGGTATTGAAGGTTCTCGTGAAGCTTTAACGCTTATACCCTACATGTAGTAGGGTCTTAGGTCTATTGACGGAGGTATGCAGGCCATAGTAATGTTAGAACGTTTTGCGGGGGTAGGAGCGTGCTGCGGTTTGAGTTGAGGGCTTTCATACAAGTGCTGTTGGCTAAGCTTCGTGTTTTGAAAGGCATACAGTCAGAGCTGAGAGAAGGCCGGAATGCAGGTTCATAGGTTCAAAACGACCATCAAGAGTGACATTTGGGACCCCCAAAATGGTACCCCTAATTTTGGGAATCCCTGAACCCTAAACCCTATACATCCCTATATAACACTTATAACCCCCTTAAAGGTACCTCTAATTTTGGGAAACCACCGTATCCCTCAAATTTCAAGGTTGAATACACAAGGCTCCTACAGGCTCTACGTGGGCCCGAACCCCCTGCACTTCCCTTGGCCTTTGGGCCGCCAAGTTCATAACACCTTCCCGGTCATCACGTAGCCCTTACTAGCAAGAAGATTTTAGCAACATCAACGCCCAAAGCAAGAACCTTATTTTGGGGGGATAACAGGGTTCTGACTTTGGGTTGAGGTTGCCAGGCAACCTATAAGCCCAAAGAGCGAAGTTGGTTTTCCTGCCAATATAAACCAAAGTCCTCGTATCCCTAAACCCTAAACTCTAAACCCTACATCCCTAAACACTACATCCCGAAACTCCAATCCCTAACTCCCTAAACCACCCCCAAAAACTATATTTCTAAACGCCTATAAACCCTAACTCCCTAAACCTTATATCCCTAAAAACTATATTTCTAAACGCCTAAACCCTAACTCCCTCCCGAAAGGCCTAAGCCTTTCTACTTCAGCTGCCAGGCAAGTTTCTGAGGCTTTAGCAGCCCTGGAGGCTGAGAGGGACCGTAAGTTTGAGGCCCTCACGAAGGCGGGGTCCGTTTCGGGATCATATACGGGCTTATACAGGGTTCAGGGTTTAGGAATTAGGGTTTGGGGTTTAAGGATAAGGGTTTGGGGAGTCGGGTTTAGGGATCAGGGTTTAGGCTTTAGGGGTCTTTAGGGCCTAAACTCCTGAAAAGGGGTTATATAGGGGATATTATAGGGGAGTACTACAGGGGTTATTCAGGGGGATACTAGGAGTTTGGAGTCCGGGGTGAAAAGCTTAGGGTTTGAGGGTCTTAGCATGTAGGGCTTCTTGTTCGTAGGCCTGAGGACTAGGGCTTCAGGTATGAGGATTGAGCGTCAGGGGTTTTATGCTGGGGGTTGGGAGTTGGGTTTAGGGTTGAGAAATCGAGGCTTAAAGTGGAGGGTTGAAGATTTCATTCTGGCTGAAGGGTCAGGGATTCCCTGATAAAGGATGAAGTGCTAATGGGACTTGTTGCGGAAGTTTGGGTGATTCAAGAGTCCAAGGGTTTGGGGCTTGGGAAACGACAGGGCTTTGCAGAAAACCTTGCAGAAAGCTGTGCCGCAAGGCAGTCAGTTGGCTCAGGTGATTCGCAGGCTACAAGGAGAAGATCCTACTGTGCCTATCACTGATCTATCCACCATTACGTAGTCGGTAAGAAAGATGAGGCAAGAATTTCGGCCTTCCCTCTGGCATCCGTTCTCGCTTGTATACCTAAATGGACACATTCTAAGTAGCACTGTGCGATTCAATGATTAGACGATAATAATGAGGGCCGTGATGGACCGTTTTCATTCAATGATCTTTCTTGCTCCGGAGAACATCACTATAGCAGCTGGTGGCTGTACCATGGTACAGTTTCAGATGGTAGCTAATGGGCGTTCCTTGAACTTCTTGCAGTCTGCAAAACTGTTTGTTAGAGGTTATTCGTAACACGCATGTACTGGTGATCCTGTTCAGTCGTTTCTAGTGCTCTCGAACATATGGTTCTCATATGGTTCTCAAGCCATGAGGTCTATAGATGTTCCATATCTCCACCTTTAGCACGTAGGTTTACCACAACTCCAAGAAACCTATGCCCGGATAGCTCCCCACCGCGCCCCTTGCAAATGGTACAGCCCCTGTAGCCAAAGACTATAATGCGAGCCCCTCACCCGGATCTCCACGTACACCACACATCTGTACATGTGCATGCACACATACACTCATGCATCATCCATCGCACCTTACCCATTTTCTTCTCCATTGTCCTTACATTACCCCTATATAATCCCTATATACCCCCTATATATC